CATTACAAATTCTATATAACTCCAATACAGTATTTTTAAGTATTTGTAATTTTGTCTACTATGTAAAAATACTATAATTTTTTTCTTAAATATTTATAAAAACTTTTATTATTAGCACTATTAAGTAATTTTTTGTTTTTATATTTTAGTTATTCTATATATTATAACTTAATAATATTTTATAAGACTTTTAAACTTAAAGTTTTAACAATAAATCAGTTCAATAAATAATTAGATAAATTAATTATCAAAGTAAAAAATTATTTATTATTTTATTTCTTATATTTTCAATATCTTAAATACAATAGTGCTATTTGATTTATATGCTTTTATATAATTATAATTATTAATTTTTATATATATACAAAGTCAAATAGAGTTTTAATTGAATAACTATGTAACCTATTACCTGAACTAAAAAAATCATTAATCAGATAATAGTTTTGTCAAACCAGTTTTTAATATAATAAGTGAATATCTAATTAATAAATAATTATAAATTAATATTTGATTAATCCAAATATTTGGTTAATAAATAATTAGTTGATTAAAGTATTGTAATTATGATTGATAAGTTAAATATCAAACTTGAATACATAAAGATAGATAAGTAAGATAAGTTCAAAAAAGTTCTAATATGTACTATATTAGTAATTGATTTGAATGTATAAAGTAGGGGTCTGCAAACCGGGCTCATGCCTGTGCCCAACAAAAAGCACAGGCATGGGCATGGGCACGAAAATTCAGGTATGAGCATAGGTATGGGCATAAAAATTTGCCATGGGCATGGGCATAAGAATTTGCCATGGGCATGGGCATAGGCACAAAAATTTGGCATGGGCATGGGAATAGGCACAAAGATTTGGTATGGGCATGGGCACGGGCACAAAAATTTAATATTTATTAATTAATTTTGTCTGGCACTTTGCCTGATATTTGTGCCTGGTATCTTTTTGGCACCTTTTTGCCTAGCATATTGTACCATGCCATAATAGTGCCTGGCATATTGTACCCATGTCTATAAAATGCCTAACATTTGTGCTCATGCCTACAATAATGTCTGGCATTTTTGTGCCTTAGCTATGGGCATGACATGAGGCACTAGTATATGGCCTGGTGCCAATGTGCCTAGCATGACCACTTGCAGACCCCTAGTATAAAGATAAAAATAAGTTTAAAAAAGGTCTAATATATATTAAATTAGCATCTAATTAATATTTAAAAAGATTTATACAAAAAATTTTTTTTTTGTATTATTTTCTTTGTTCATTAATATATTAGAATAAAAGTGTTTGTTCTTGGTCTTAAGTATACTCATAAAAACTTTTTCAAGTAGTTTACTTTTGCTAGCACTAGTTATCTTTATTTATATTCTACTAGTTATAACCTACTAGTTATAGTTCTCTAGTAATTAATTGAGCATTAAAAAAAAAAGTGTACAAAAATAAAAGTTTAAAGCTATAAATAAGCAGGTATAATTCCTTTAAATTAAATATAATAATACTAACTATATAGATAATAATAAAAAATTTGTATTTTAAAAAATTAGTCTAGGCTTTACAATATCTGATTATATACATAAAGATGATATACTTTTTCTACAATATAAAGAATCACCTAGAAGTAAAAAACTATCTATAAATAAAACTTCTATAAATAACCTTTTAATTAGTGCTTGGCACAATCAAACAAAAATTTAACAGTCAAATACTTGTTAATATTTGTGATTAAGTCGGATATCAAATGATTGCAGATTAACCAATAGTATATATTTAGCTTGGGTTAATCTGCAATCATTTGACATCCGATTTAAGCATAAGTATTAACAAGTATCTGACTGTCAAATTTTTGTTTGATTGTGCTGAGCACTAATTTTTGTATTAAAAACGCCAACATACATATTATAAACCTTTTTCAAAATATTACTCATGCAATGATGTACTAAAAAATATTTAAAGTGCCTAACTATATTACTCCTATTTCTTCTCTAATTATTATTATTTCCTGTAGACCAGGCCAAATACCATAAAAAGATCTGCCAAATGTGCTTGCAAATACAATGCCTTTCGGGAATAATATCATTATTACCAACAAAAAACTTATAATTATCATCGATTATTTCTTGGATAGATGGATCAGTGATAACAAAAAAATGGCTATTTAATTTATTATATAATCTTTTATCATTAGGATAGTAAGAGATGTCTATAATTTTCTTAGTGAGAGGTATAACTTGCTCCAAGAAAAGCTCATATAATTTTTTGAGATCTTTTTTTCTAAAGAATCGATAACAAAAATCATTGTCGTAAGATTCACCAATAAATATTCTGCTGTTAATCGTATCAGCATCATAAGTAGCATCAGGACTTAAAGGTAAATGAGTTATTTCTATCTTAAAGAAACATAAATCTAAAAATTGATTACTAGACAAACATTTCACCAAACCAATGTTTAAATATTTTCTTAATCATTATCATATTTATAAAATTTTTATACTCAAGAAACAAAATCACTATTATGTTTTTTGCCATTATTAACACATTTGTATACGTCTAAAATGACTTTTAAAATAGTGGCTTTTTTCGTGCCAATATTCATTGTCATCGTATTTGTCAATTCAAAAATATTTAAGCTATTGTGAACAGTACTGAGATACAATAAGGATCTCAAATTTATTATGAATGTAAATCAAGAATGATACTTTTTAATGCTTTTATTTTCATTAGATCATTTCAACCCAGATATACTGTAATAAATATATTGTTTATTTAATTTCAAAAATAATTTAGCATGTGTGATTTGAAATGTGATAAATTTTTTTTTGATGAAATTTTTAAATAAAAATAATCACAAGTTTAGTACAACTTTTTTTAATAGCCTTATAATTTAATTGATCCTTTTGTTCGTGATAATGCCTAATTGTTTTTGAGATGCAGTTTTAAAAATTCAGCACATTTATGTGCAAAAATATTTATTTATGTGAAAATGGTAAGTTCATTTCTGTTTATTTAATTTGTGCAAAAAACAATACATGAGCAATAAATTTTTAACACTGGCTTTAATTGTCTAAAAAGAATGTTTATTGATGCAATAAATGGCACAATTTCCAATAGGTCACATTTTAGCATTTTATGGAACTGACACTTATTACGTAAATAATATGAACTTTAAATGATTGGTTATTTGAAGCTTGCAATGTCAAAAAATTGATTATTTTAAAACTTATGATTGTGCCAAAATACTGACTCTGAGAGATTATATTTACGAAATGTGTCTATTCCTTAGATTATGCTTCATATATCTCAAATTAAAGAAGCATTTTGTAAACAGTATTTTATATTAGTGTCAAAAACAAAAAGTCATGACAGTAATTGGTGTTTATTATTTGCATAAGGGCAAAGTATTGTTCTTAAATTAAATTAGTAGTAAAATCTGAGATTCTTATTGTTATCTGAATTGTTCACAATAGTTTAAATACCAATTTTAAAACAACAATATAAATGAATATTGACACGAAAAAAGCTACTATTTCAATAGTTGTTTTAGATGTAGCCAATTGTGTTAGAGAACTAAGGGAACCAACACTAATTACATAAATATAGCTCCAGAGTCAGTTGTTTGACACAATTGTTTAAAGTAATCAATCATTTGACAATTACAAGTTCTAAAGTAATCAATAATTTTTAGAACCTGGTATGTCAAATGACTAACTCTGGGGTCATATTTATGTAACAAGTGTTAGATCCTTTAATAATGGTGAAAAAAAATGTAATAATGGTGAATTATAAAAATTTTATAAATATTATAATGATTAAGAAAATATTTAAACGTTGGTTTGGTGAAATGTTTGTCTAGAATCAATTTTTAGATTTATGTTTCTTTAAGATAGAAATAACTCATTTATCTTTAAGTCCTGATGATACTTACAATGCTGACATGATTGACAGAAGAATATTTATCAGTGAACCTAATGATGATGATATTTTTAATCGATTTTTTAGAAAAAAAGATCTCAAAAAATTATACAAGCTTTTTTTGGAGCAAGTTATACCCCTCGTTAAGAAAATTATGAACATCTCTTATCATCCTAATGACGAAAGATTATACAATGAATTAAATAGTCATTTTTTTGTCATCACCAATCCATCTGTTCAAGAAATAATTGATGGTGATTATGAGTTTTTTGTTGGTAGTAATGATTTTATTTCTGAAAGACATTGTATTCGTGGCCGCATTCGGCAAATATTTTTATAGTATTTGACTTGGTCTGGAAGAAATAATGATAATTGAAGTAAAAGTAGAAGTAATATAGTTAGACACTTTAGATATTTTTTAGTACATCGCTGCATGAGTAATATTTTGGAAAGGGATTATGATAAGTATATTGGTGTCTTTAATACAAAAATGGATATTTTTTTTTCTTGACTATTTAAAGTATATAGCAGATCTTAGATTTGAAAACATTAGTCAAGAATATGTTAATTATATAAATTTTATGAATAGATGATGTGTTTAGATAATTAATCATTTGATAGTTTCATCAAATAAAATCAAATCAAATTACATGAATAATGTTTTATACAAAATTTTATTTGATGTCTATATTGTATAATTCAAAAGAGGTAATTTCATAGTCAATTCCCTTAACCCTATGGCAGTTCAAATTTTCAACCTTTTATAGGCATAAACGAATAAAACTTTTTGATAGCAGAAAAGATTGTTAAATAAATATTAATTGTTATTGGATATTTTTTACTAAAATGCATAATTATGAAGCCTTAAAAGTTTATATTAAATGAAATTCTATCAAAACCTACCTATATGCAGCCTCTTTTGTATTTTGTGATATCCCTAATATACTTTCTGCCAAAACCTAAACAAATCTCAAATTCAAAAAAAAAAAAAAGAATTGCTATTGTTACGGAGTAATTTGTAGGTTTAATAGTGTATAATATAAAATATAGACATTATTGATACAGTCATCCTCCTATACAATCACAGAGTTGGGCGTATAGTAAATTATTTTAGAAATATGCTTTTAAAGGGGTTGTGCTTATATGGAGGTTTTTTTCTTATAAATTAAATCATAGTTTGGTCTAAATAAAAATGTGATTACATATGATGTGATTGTATAGGAAGTGACTATATGGAGGGTCAACTGTATAAGGCAACTCACCAGAGGCGTGACGTTGGTAATTTGGTTAAGATATAATAATTCAATAATTAGAAACTCGTAGGATAATGTTTACAACAGAAAAATACAAATAATTTTATACAAAAAAAATGATTACAAAAGGCTTTTACAAAGATTTTCTTTTAATCTTTGCATATCCCCCAGCTCCTCTTCTGATCTGTAAATCCCTTACATCTTTTCCCTCCTACATTCAAGTTATTTCTCCTTTCTTATTTTTTCCTAAACCTTCTTCATCCTTCGTTTATATCATTTCTGCTAGAACTTTCTACTGATGATCTCTAAGCCTTGTAGATTATACACATAATTATCTTTTTTGAAATATCTTTAGGATCTTCATTCCCGAATAGCTATGTGATTTACCCTCCGATTGATCGATCGATTTTAGAAATATCACTTTTAGCCTGTGATACTATTTATAAAAGATTAAATTTAAAAAGTAATCTTAATATTTTGCAAATATATAGTAATTCGGCAAGTATAATCCCTAACAGAGTAAAATTTCATGCAACATTATCAAAATTAGAGATTGGTAAGGTAATAAAGTAAGTAATAAATACTTATTTTTTTACCCAGTACTTACACACATACGTATTATTACTAATTATTGATTATTATTACTCATTACAATTTTTAAATGTAATCTGGTGAGAAAATTTTAATCTCATAATCAGATTGAATTTTGCATATATCATTACTCTTTACTACCTATTACACAAAATATTAGAAAAAATAATTAGAAATAATATGTAATAATATGTATAATATGTAATTGACTTTTTGCCTATCTCTAATCAAAATTAAGAAATTTATTGACTGATCATTAAGCAGTTCCTTAAATCACATTAAAATACATTTAGATCTGTATCAGATCCTGAATTGAATTAATCCAATCAAATTAATTTTGTATTTTTATCATTATAATGATAATAATTCAATTTAGGATCTAAATCCTATGAAAAGTTTTATTTTAATTCTATAAATTCATAGAATTAAAATTTTCAAGGATTTTTGATAGGTAGTTACTGAGATATCTTCGCTCAAATTTGAAAAAATATTGTTATCAAGGATTGTTGATTTCATCAATCAGAACATAATAGTTCAATTTACCACAGTTAGGGTACTAATTCCAGAATTCGGTGGAGATCCATCCCAACATCTTTATTACTAAATTGTTTGCCAGAATTGGAATAGATCAAGTATTGGTATGACATATTTTTGTCGATAAAATACGCAAATATACCTTTGTTTAAATTTTGGTTTTTTTTTTTTTTACTACATCTATTTTGAGACATTGAGATATCTTAGCAACCACTACAGTAATAAATTAGATTTTTATTTATTTAATTATACAAGATTTGTATAAAAATATATACATATATATATTGTATTCATCAGATTTTGTTAGATAGTTGTTGAGATATTTTCTCTCAAAGTTATAAAAAAAACTCTTATAAAAAAAATTTTTATAAAAAAAAACTTTTATAAGGCATTGCCTTAAAAAATTTTATTTTTTGATACTACTTTATTTAATATTTGAATAATAAGAATGAATAAAAATGAACAAAAAAAATATTAGAAGCAAGGTTAAGAAAAAAAATAACCACTAAATAATAAAAGAATTGAGCAAAAATAGTAAAAAACTATCACTAAAGTAACAAAAAAAGTACACACTTAAGTAACAAAAGAACCACCACTAAAAGCAATGAAAGAATCATCAACTAAAACAACAAAATAACTACTATACCACTAACAAACTATAAAAAAACTGCCTCTAAAGTGAAAAAAGAATCACTATTAAAGTGATGAAATAAAGTGTCAAAAACATCTTAAAGATGAAGAGCCACCTTTAAAGATGAAAGATTATACAATGAATTAATTGGAGTATAGATATGAGTGATATAATTAGACATTTTAGATATTTTTTAGTGCATCGCTGCATGATTAATATTTTGGAAAGGGCTTATAACATGTATGTTATAGTTTTTAATACTTTAATACAAAAATGAATGTTTCTTCTTTTCCTGATTATTTGAAGTATATAACAAATCTTAAATTCGAAGATATTAGTCAAAAAAATGATAATTATATAAATTCTATGAATAGATGATGCGTTTAGATAATCATTTGATAGTCTTCATGTTAGATTTGTGATAATATCAAATCACGAAATAGTAAATTCATTTAATATCGATATTGTATATTCAAAAAGAGATAATCTCCATAAACAAACTAAAACTTTACACAATTTTCTATACCAGAAGAGATTGTTAGTTTAATATAGTTCTTAAATAAATCTATATTAGATATAATTTATTATATATGACCGAGTTCTGGTAGTTTAATATTGATTTTCAAATCTGGTTAAACTGTTTAACATCCCTAAAACAAGGACAAATTTGTCAAATAAGAT